TGGGGGGCCCCCTTTTCCCCCCCCTTTCTCTTTTTAAGGTTTTTTTTTTTTTTCCCCGCGCGGGGGGGGGGGGGGGGGGGGGCTTTCCCCGCGCGATAAGGGCGGTGGTGGTGGGGGGGGGTTTTTTTTATATGGTGGTGGCCGGGAAGATTTTTTTTTGGCCTTTCCCCTTTTTTTTTTTTTGTGTTTTTTTCGGGGTCGTGTTCCCCCCCCAATCTTTTTTTGTCACCCCCCCCGTTTTTTTTGGTGGGGGTGCCCCTTGGGCCGGGGCAATTTTTTGGCCCCTGGTCCCTTTGTTGATTTTGGGAAGGGTGGTTTTTTTGGGGGCCCCTTCCCGGCCTTGGGCCGGGGGGGGGGGGGGGGCCGGGTTTTTTCCCCGGGGGGGGGAACCCTTTGGTGGGGGGGGGGGGGGGGGGGGGGGGGCGCAGACAGGAATCGTTTTGACGTCAATTTCGCAGTACCTAGACAGCGGAGGCATGTACTGCTGCTTCCTCGCCTTCACCACCGCGGATAGCATCTGGATACACGACGATGGTGAGAGTAATGTCGTTTTGTTGTCGTTGAAAATGATGTTGTCTTCGCATAGAATCTGTTCCGGTCTCTGCTCTGTCGTACCTTCTAGCGTCCGATCGGTTCCACTGATGATGCGACGATTGCGGGATAGAATTGGTGGCCGGGTAAGGTGCTTCTTCCAAGGTGAGATCATGTGCCTTGCGTGGGATGATCATGACTCGTTATTTGGAAGTGGTGATGTCTTCACGCTTCGCGTGTACAGTGCTGCGACCGTCCATGTCTATGCCCTCTTTTGTTGACTCGGTGATGGGTCGAAACAAGAAACACAAAACAAACTATTCTCTTAACCATCGTGATGAAACAATTCGGAACAATATCACAGACGATGAAGATGGTGGCGTGGCCCCTCGACACGGGCTGTTGTCGGAGATGGAGAAGAAGTACGAAAACTTCTGCAGGAGCGCCGTCAAGGTCTTGGCGTGGTGCTCGTGCGCCTTCAACGTATTCGGAGGTGCGGTTTTTTTTTGTCCATCCGCTTTTCGAGCTCTAGTATTACATCTCAAAACTGAGCATTAAAGAATACCCAAAAGCGAAACACACCAACCCAATTTTGTAGCCCGCAGTACGTGCAATCGCAAACATACATGCTATCACAAACATACAACTTAAACTATTGTTTTATAATACTGGTAGTAAAGAAGTGAACAGTATGTGCATGCCACACCGAGTTTCATTGTTGCGTACCCTGTTATAGTTTCCAACGCCAAGACAGGCGTCTCCATCAAATGGACCGTTTGCAGATGTTCGAAGGTGCTCAGCAGAGACCGGAACAGCTTTATTGTTTCGACAGAAGCAACAAGAAGCTTTCCAACCCACAGCGTTTCACGTCACTGCAAGCACAAAGCGGTACCGAGGAGCCGCGTCCAGTGCCGGGGTCGATGACTCGACGCATGCCTCTCTCCTACACCCCCCGCACGCTAACAACTATGGCATGCACATGGTGTCGATAGGATAGGGGACACATTTTTAGCCACCTCGGGCAAAGTAGGGAGAGACACTTGGCCATGGTTGATCGGTCCTGTGGGAACAACGCTCTCGAGGTTACGTGGTCAGTGGCATGAAACATGATTAACCCCCCCCGGTTACTTCGTACGGTGTCCCTGTGCGGTGGTGTAATGCGTTGCGTTTGGACAAGGCGGGGAGCAAGAGGCCGACTTCGCCCACGTGTCGAGGGTGTTTGGCCGGATGCTGTCCGCAAGGCGTTACGTTGACGTGGTGGCGACGGATGTCGCCGCTGGCCTCATACTTCTCCGTCACGTGCAGAAGGCTGAGGTGAGATTTCTTGCGTCCTGTGAAAGGCATGCGTCTACATACCTCTGTATTTTGTATGTGTTGGTTTTGTTTTGGAAGAATTCTGTGTGTTCCAGGCTAGCATTTCATAACGAGACACGAGTGGTTGCGGGACCAAGTCCATGGTATGCGCTGCGAGCTGGTTGGTCGAACTATTTAGCGTTCTCGATAGGCCGATCAATGGGAATTCGGCGGTGGGCCTGAGCGGGGCAGAAGGTTGCTTAAGTCTCCCCCTGCCGCGGTGGCATGGTAGTAGGTCTTTCGCACGGTATTTTAGCGGCATTGCCGTCTGCCATCACATATCTGGCTATTTTTCGACGTGGGAGTTCGGTGCAAGCTCGTATCAGGTTCCTTTTCTCCGGCCTGGTGTTTTGTGTTCTGTGGGCACCTCCCGTCCATTCGCCACTTCGCTGCCTACCTCTACAACTGTTTTTCTAGGGTGATTTTGAGCGTCTTTTGTGCCTGCGGTATCGAAGTCCGATACATCCGTTTCCAATGCTCACGCAGTGCTGGCTCTTCTGTCGATACAACTTTTTTTTTTTCTGTTTTCGCTTTCGCAGGACTACAAGCGGAGGGACAAGCTGAGGGGAGGCTCCGGCAAGGCCTCCTTCTCCACACCGGTCACCACCGAACCCAGCCACACCGATGTTGTCGGCAGCGACGCCCCCCGCAGCGCTAACGCGACGCCATCTTCTTCTTCGAGAGGGACGGCCGCTGCCGAGCGTAGCACCGCTGCCGACGCGTACCAGGGGGGCGAGGGGACGTCGATGGAAGGGTCCGGGCTTGTTGGTAAGGCGGGGGGCGGGGGTGGCGGGGGGCGGCGGAGGCGAAGGAGGCTTCCGGGCAGGGTGCCGTTGAGCGAGCGTTCGCAGGAGCATCGAAAGTACTATAAGGTGAGAGGGGCGTCGAAAGGGGTTGGTGCAGCAGGCGGCTGGACGTTTTTTTTTTTTGCGGCAGTTAGAAGGAGGATTTCCAGCCCCCTGAAGCGTAGGAAGAGGGTTCGGGGTGCGGTCTCGTCACGCTCGACTTGGCGACTAGTGGCAGTCGATCACGCGAGATCGTTGTTGTTGTTGTTGTTGTTGTTGTTGTTGTTGTGGTGGTGGTGGTTGTTGTTGTTGTGGTGGTGGTGGTTGTGGTGGTGGTCTTGCCGCTGCTGACCCTCTCTGTCGCCACAGCCTCGTCTAGCGGAACGGAACGGAACCACAGCAGACGGAACGCCAAATGACGAGAAAACCGAAAATCACCGGGGGTGAGGGGGGTATCCTCTACCCATCTTTTCGAACCCTCCACCTTCCGTCTCCCATGTTGCACCTTCCGGAAGCAGCGTTGACGACATGTGCCCCTCGTCTTGCGTCGTGGTGTACATGTGCCGAATATCCTTGCTCCCAATGTACGTCTCGCTTTTTGCTACAGTGCGCAGTTGGTGTTGGGCCGCGGGTATCGTCGTGTTAGCCGTCTCAGGTGTCGCCGTGACTTGTGCTTCACCCCTTTTGGGTATTTCGCTGCCCTTCACTTGGCGAAGCGTTCAGACGTGTACCGGTAACGTAAACTGGCTTTTTTTTGCCCGCGTGACACATGTGTGGGTCCGTCGCCGCTGTCACAGGTTTCGCCAGACGAGAGCGTGTTGGACTTGACGGATGGCGGCGAGGACTGGCGAGTGTTGCAGGATGTGGCGCACTTCATCAGGTGGGGAAGCGTATTGCAACGAGGTTGTCCCTTACGAATCATGATGGGGGTGTGGTAGGGAGATGCTTGAGATGCTTGTCGTTTGCGTCGCGTGTGCGTTGCAAGGAGCGATCCGCCGGCAAGGCTGTGCATTGGAAGTTGCACCCGTATTATTATCGTTGACTGCTGTGTTGGGTTTGTGTTTATATGTGTTTGTTTTTGTGTGCTCTGTGTAGCAGCAAACTCTTTCACCCATGGCGTACACAGTTTTGAGTGCGAGCCACCTTCGTGTGTCCTGACGGGCGTGAAAATCGTCGATACACACACACACACACACAGAAACCGTCACTGCCTTGTTCGCTCGCTTTTTTTGTCTTCTTTTTTTCCCGCAGCTACGCCAACGTCATGTACAGCGTGTGGGGGACGTTGATCATCGACCCGTGGTCCGGGCTCCGGCGAATCATCAGGAGGAGGTGAGCAGCGAGGGAGAACAAGACGTCCACACGGGCCTTGCGTGATTTTGGGCGAAATGCACTTTTTTGTTCCGCTTTTTGAAATATGGCCAAGTCGAGAAACTGGGTTGTATTGCTTGTACGAGAGGTCTCGGCCTGGATGACACTTAGCGGCAGCAGCGTTGGGCACTACTCTAAGTCAGTTTTCCGTCGACTAGGATGCCGGTTTCGGTACTTTTCTTTCGTTCTGTTTCTTTACCGTGTAAATTTCTTAAGGCTGCTCGCCCTCTCTCTCTCTCTCTCTCTGTAAACATCGAATTATCTCTCCCACACACACGGACAACCCTGACTGTCCCCTCTATCTTGTCTCCCTATTATATATCTGTCTATTTATCTCTCTCACGCACACGTACAACCTCTCTCTGACTCTCCCTCCCCCCCTCTAAACTCGCCTCCCCATTTTTGTTTCCCTCGGTCTTACAAAGCGGGAGCTGGTGCCCAAAGTTCATCAGCAGAAGGGGCGCAAGACACCGAGAAAGCCTGTTCCGCGCAGACAGCTCCACCTCGCGCCTAACCACCGGAAGAAGCAGCAGCGCCGGTAGCCTCAAGAGCAGCAGCAAGCACAGCAGCAGCAGGGTCGGCGGCAGAGGGATAGGGAGGGGGACTCGTAGCATTTCCTACGTCCAGGCGGATGGAGGGGGCGACGCCAACGATAATGCGGAGCGGGGTGCGGGGGCGGCCGGGCTGCCGAGCCTTTGTGAGGCGGAGATTAGGGGGGACAACTGGTGGGGCTCGCACGAGGTGGGTGTTGTTTGGCTATTCCTTTTTGCTCGGTAGGAACCGGTCGCCCCGGTGGTCTAGTGGTAACCTCGACACCCCTAGTCGCTAAGGTCGTGAGTTCGAATGAATCCCCATGGGGTGAAAAATTTACAAAATTTGCGGGTGAAAGCGAAACATGGCTGAAAAATCTCTCGTGAGTACCAACCTTCGACGGTAGCATCGTTGACAAGGGAAAGGGACGGAACCCTTCTCGCGATAAAAATAAAATTTCGCACGCACCGCAGGAGGAAGATGGGGCACGAAAATAACAGAAATAGAAGAAGAAGGCCCTGGTGTTTACCCCCTCCTGTGTGACCCTGGATGGTTGTAGTTGTACGAAAAAATACACTGAAAAGTGTCGTACTCTACATACACCGAAAAGTGTAGTACACGTCTCGCCGCGAAAAATGGGGGGACTGTCGCCATAAGGACGAAAACACGCACAACACACAGGGATTGCTTGGTTTCGTTGTGATAGTTACGTGGGGTCGGGGGGGGTGTCGACGTGTTTTTTCTTTTTGTTCATATTGCTTGCTGGGTCATGGGAACGCTGCGTGGGAGGCGGGAAGGGTGTCGATTGTCATCGGGGTGTTTACGAGACCCGCCTGTTCCTGCCCCGCGCCACAGCAACCCATGTTCGATTCCGGTCACAGGTCACAACTGTGGTCGGTTGTTTGCTCTTTACGTGTGTAGATCGATGCCGGCGCAATGCATGCTGTGAACACCGAATTAGGTGTAAAGTATCATCGTCAATGCTTCTTTTGGTTTTATCTTGTGACAATGAATGAATTCTGATCGTCGCTAACGTGTGCCGCCTGTGTCTCCGGTTTCGCAGTCATCCCTCTCCCCCACCGCCTTTTTCTTGTGATGGCTTCCCCCGCCATGCATCCCGTTTATGTTCCTGCCCTGTCGTCTTGCCTCTCTTTTTTTTTCGCTCCAATCAGTCAGTCGAGCGCCCATGTCTTTTTTTTAATTTTTTCACCGCGATCCTTTTTCAACTTTTGCGTGCCTTTTTTGTTCGTGCGCAAAAGTTTGTGCGTGTTACAACACAATGTCGGCATGCTGTTCCACCTGTTCTTACCCCTCCCGGCATGCGTATCGCTCCGTCTCGGCATTGTAGGGATGCGAGGTCAATGGTCTAACCACTGCGGCATGCGTTCACATGAGTACCCCTCCCTCTCTTCGTGCTCATCTTGTATCTGTCTTTCGCTCGCTTTCTTTTTCGCTCCCCCTATTTTCAGTTTCATTCATTCGCCGATGTCTGCGTTGTTTGTATTACAGCGCCTTGTCTGTCTGCAGTCCCACCTGTTCTTACCCGCCCGCTCTCTCTTGTGCATATGTCAATCTTAATCTTGTACATGTGTCTCTTAATCTTGTATGTGTGTCGATCTTAATCTTGTGCATGTGTTAAATGTTAATCTTGTGAAAGTGTCAATCTTAATCTTATGCATGTGCTAATCTTCATCTTATGCATGTGTTGATGTTGCTGTTGTGCGAGAAGACCGCCCTTCGGTCCGAGCTGCCGGACGGAGCCGAGCTAGTGCTGGCGCACTTCAACAACTGCCTGGACGAGACACCGTACTGCGTCGTGGTCGACCACACGTGGCAGAGCATCATCATCACCATCAGAGGGACGCACTCCTTCGAGGTTGGTGGATGGGTAGATTTTGATGTGCTGGACAGGGGGGGGGGGGGGTGTACTCATAGTCGTGCATACCGTAGTCGTTAGACCATTGACCTCGCATCCCTACAAAGCCGGGACGGAGCACGCCGGGTTCTCACCGGACCAGGCTCGCACATCACCAAGCGCGAAGCGCCGTGAGGTATTCGGCGATTCGCATGGAGGGTGCGCTGCATCCTGCTAATGGTGTTCGGCATGTTGTGCTTCCTTGCGTACGGATGACAGCTGCGTATGACCTAATTTATTTTCTGGTGCTTTCACTTCCAGAGACAGTTGTAAGCACTGTGTAGCTGCTTCGAGGACACTTGACCATTTTAACACAACATGGTGCGATCGTCCCCCTTGCGCGGAGTGGGGGTTCTCGACCCCGCACAACATGATCTACTCGACCACCATTATGGTTTCCGCCAAAAAAAAGCAGAGGTAAAAAAAACCCCGGCAACCTGGTTGCCGAGTTCACGGAGTGAACTGGCTGCCTTTACAACGTTGCCAAGCGACGAAAACCCAATCCCGACGGCAAGCACCGGGGGGGGGGGGGGGGGTACGCGGATTCGCGGGGGTTGGGGTAGATGGTCATCATCACCATCTGAGGGCGATACCCCCTCCAGGATAAATAGATAAATACAATAGCGTTTGGTGTGTCGTGGTTATCGGACGTGAGTGGGAAGTGAAGAATACCGCCTTGCTCGCTCGTTGCAAGTTTTTTTTAAATTATTTTTTCGGTGTTGTGCTGTGCTGTGCTGTGCTGTGTAACGACAACGACGACGTCGATCCAGGACTTTCTGGTGGACGCGATGGCCGAGCCGCAGTCTTTGGAGAACGCGGGACTCGAGTGGGGATTCGACGGCAGGAATATGCATGCCCACCAGGGCATCCTACGCCGCGCGGAGTGGATTCGCAGGTATGTGGTGCATGCGGTGCACCAAAGGGGTCGGCTTATGCCCCCCCCCCCCCTTGTTTTTGGTGGCGACAAGGTTTGTGTTGTGTGCAACGTGCTAAGGTATATTCGTGACCTCTCAGCGCGGTCTGGCTCTTAGCGTGTTGTCATCTCATCGTGAGAGCTGTGGGCAGCAGTGCAGCCATCGGGATCGAATTCATGGGAACCGTCACCGAACTATTTTTCTTGTTGTCCACAATTCAAACGAAGAAAAACAATTTCCACGCTTCTTCCCTTCGTTCCCATGCGCCATCTTTTGTTTCTCTCTCCGCATCTCACAAAGGAAAGAAAAACTGTAAGAACCACAGCCGTATCAAGAAGCCACGAGCATCACAAATCGCGCATACCTTACACTGCAAGAAGGAGCGTGACAGCGGCACTTTCAAACACGGTTTTCAGCGATTGGGAAGAAGCTGACTCAGTGATGTTTTGACGAAATTGAGCCGACGGACGCCTGGTTTTTGTTGTTCTTGTTGTTGCCCCTGTTTCTTGGGCTTGGGCGGCCTTTCGTCACAGCAAATGGTTCCTTCGTGCTTGTTCTCAAAAGGGAACACCTTCAACTACCACCGCAAAACACACACGGCTTAACAGTCACTCACGCATACAGCCAATCTCCACCCAGTCTCCCTTCTGGAAGAACCAAGCGCACCAGGGACCTCGAGAAATGAATTACACCGCCCGGCAATCGTGTCCTTGAACCGAGGAACCAGATAACCCCCAACAAATACGTCCCCCCACCTCAGCGCTGCACCCTATGTAGTGACCTCGAGACCCGCTTTGTTTCTCCGACCCAACTCCGATTCAAGCATGCCTCCCGTACACAGAAGTACTAACACCAGCGATGTTTCTCCAACCCGACGACGGCTCGACCACCTTGGCATGGAAATCGAAACAGGCTTAAAACGACAAGAAAGGATATTGTCCCGGAGCCCGCATCCAAAACGTCGTCGCGCTATTGTACCACCACACCACCTCACCACCCCAGGGACCTCGAGACTACTAGTAGCGCCACTCCTCCAACCAAAACACTGCTGGAAAGAAAATTAGCAGCATCCCGGCACTAGGGCGACATTCCTCCCGACATCCCGAACGTTTTTGCCATGCTATTTTCCCACCGTGTGTACCACCACCCAACGCCAGGGACCTCGAAACGAGCTACGTTTTTCCAACCGAAACACAGCTCGACGGAAGTTTGCAGCATTCCCACGCTGGGATAGCGTCCCTCCCGGCATCCCAATCGAATGCGGTAACATTGTTGCACGAATACACCATACCGTACCACATCCCAACGGACTCCCAGACTAGCGGCGTTTCTCCATCCGAAGCACAGCCCACACACAAAGAAAAACAATAACGCCTCTTCTGACATCCCAATCGTTTGCCATAATCCACGTTACCACCCCAGGGACCTCGAGAAGACGGACGTTTCTCCACAACCGGACAAGAGAAAAAACAGCATGCCTACCGACACTCCGGCTCTCAAATAGGACAACATCCCTCCCGGCATCCCAACCGTGGCCGTACAACAGTACTATTAATAATATACCATACCACGCCAGGGACCTCGAAACGAAGGACGATTTTCCAACCCAACCGAAAACGCAGCTCGTGCACAACAACACCCCAACTCCCGACATGCCAACGTTTTTTTCACACCACCATACCGCACCACCACAGGGACCTCGAGACCAGCGGCGTGTTGCACCTCCTGCTCGGCACCGCTCCCACCGGCGGCGGCGGTCCGGCGGGAGGGGAGGGCCGCGGCGGCAGCGGCAGGTGGGAGAAAGGAACCTCAATGAGGACGCGAGACGGGGTCAGGTTCTCCTCGCTGGCGCCCCTGGCGTCTGCCATCGGGGGGTCGGGGTTCTGCTCTGGGTACACGGTGAGAAAGGGGGGGAGAGAGAGAGAGAGAGAGAGAGAGAGAGAGAGAGAGAGAGAGAGAGAGAGAGAGAGAGAGAGAGAGAGAGAGAGAGAGAGAGAGGTAAGAACTACTCCGTACCATGCCACAGCTCCTGTTTTGGTTGTTTTTTTGTTCCTGTGAGGTGGGGAGAGTACCGCTTTCCTCGGGAGTGTAACAGGAAGGGAGAAGCAAGTATAGATTTTGCGTGTTGGAGGGTGGAGTTTGTCTTGGTTTGATGTGGGCAGGGGTAGGAAGGAGGTGGAAGTAGGGGTGGGGTGCGTGTTTGGCGTGTCGAATCGAATGATATTGAGACACCTCTTGGCGTTGCCGTGGGCTCCATTTTGTTGTATGTTGGCGGTTGGATGCTTGCTGTTGGGAACAATTTCGCGATGAAAGGGGACAATTTAGTGAATGACAGGGAACAATTTTCGTGAATGAAAACAACCTTTTGTTCGGGTTTTCTTCTGTCCAGGGCCCTTTTTTTTGCTGTTGTTCTCGTCCTTTTTTTCATAAAATATGTTTTCTTTTGTTTTCAGGCGGGCTACTGGTATAGGAGATCCTTTGTTCTTTGCTTCTTGACACCTCTTCCCTACTCTGTTCTGTATTGATCGTCGTATCGTTGACGTTCTTCCTCCTCCCTCTTGCGGCGGTACCTGTCTGTCTGTCTGTCTGTCTGTCTGTCTGTCTGTCTCAGGTTCGAGCAGTGGGGCACTCGCTCGGTGGAGGGGTAGCGGCTCTGCTGGCGCTGTTGATGAAGCCGGTCTACCCCGGGGTCAAGGCGCTTGCCGTGAGCCCTCCTGGAGGCCTTGTCTCCGAGGGAGCCTGCAGAGAGGCACGTACATACGTTGTTGCTGTTATTGTTGGTGTGTTGCTCGGCCTCTGTTCGTTATGGAGTGCCAGTTTGTCTCGGGCATGCTTGCAACGTTGTATCAGATACGCCAGTGTACCGTGTACTGCTCCGGAGTAGTTTGTGTCGACATTCTTGACGTTTTTTTTTGGGAAAACGACACAACAGGGTATACCCTGGTCGAAAAGCGACACACCTGGGTACACAGTCATTAACAGCAGTAAATGCATTCATATGATTGGTCAGCGCCCAATTTCACCCCGGTACGTCCGAAAAGGCGCAGGGTATACCCTGCTGTGTCTACTTTTCTCACCAACTGTACCCTGTTTTCGGAAGTGTACCCTGACCTGACGGGAAATAAGACCCATTCATCAATCATTTCCCCCGCAGGAATCTTCCCAACTCCTTTTCCCCTCCAACCATGGGGTACCAAACGGCGAATCTTCCCACCCAATAACAACCATGGCAACGCGGCAGGAATCCGTTTCCGCCCCTGCCAAACAACACCAACCATCAACTCTTCCGCTCTAAATCAACAATGGCCGGGCACTACCCCAGCACAGCAGTTGTTCCGTTTGGAAACATGCACACGCGTACAATACCCCGTGCACCACTGCTTGCTGCAGTCTATATGCGACATGCACGGGTCACGCTACGAAAGCGAGACCGATCCAGCATGGTTGACATGCATATATATATATGCATGTATGGACACAGCACTACACGGGTAACGTTGGGCGCTGCCACTCCCTCCTGCCTGTGCCGTGTGTGCGTGGGTGTGTTGTCTGTTGTGTCTCAATTGCGATGTGTTTGTTGCTTGAACTACTACTACTACTGCTGTAACAGCAGCGGTCGCGCTTACCAGCCGACCAAGCAGACCAACCAATCAATGTATGTAGTAAGAAGACGTCAGGCTTCAGCGGGATGAGCCGATGAAATACACCGCGAGCACAGGGAGGGTGATTGAGTTGGACGACACATTCCTGCTGCTAGAGTTGTTAGCACTCGCTCCTCCTTCCATGATTGATGTCAAGGGCGTGTCTGTGTGTGGTGTTGCTGCCTCTCTCCTCCGCCCGCTCAGCGCAGCGCCACACATCATGGGCACATACATGCATATATATGCATGTCAACCATGCTGGGTCGGTCTCGCTTTCGTAGCGTGACCCGTGCATGTCGCATATAGACTGCAGCAAGCAGTGGTGCATGGGGTATTGTACACGTGTGTGCATGTTTCCAAACGGAACAACTGCTGTGCTGGGGTAGTGCCCGGCCATTGTTGATTTAGAGCGGAAGAGTTGATGGTTGGTGTTGTTTGGCAGGGGCGGAAACGGATTCCTGCCGCGTTGCCATGGTTGTTATTGGGTGGGAAGATTCGCCGTTTGGTACCCCATGGTTGGAGGGGAAAAGGAGTTGGGAAGATTCCTGCGGGGGAAATGATTGATGAATGGGTCTTATTTCCCGTCAGGTCAGGGTACACTTCCGAAAACAGGGTACAGTTGGTGAGAAAAGTAGACACAGCAGGGTATACCCTGCCCCTTTTCGGACGTACCGGGGTGAAATTGGGCGCTGACCAATCATATGAATGCATTTACTGCTGTTAATGACTGTGTACCCAGGTGTGTCGCTTTTCGACCAGGGTATACCCTGTTGTGTCGTTTTCCCTTTTTTTTTTGTTTTTACGGTCGACCCTGGTTTTTGTTTCGTCCGACAGGCGACGGAGACGATGGTGACGTCAGTGGTCCTCAACGACGATGTGGTGCCAAGAATGTCGGCCCAGTCAATCGAGCTGCTGGCGGACCAGGTGCGGCGCGATTGGTGACGGTTGAGTGTTTCACGGAACCCCGTTCCAGAGAGCCTTGCTCGGTCCGTGAAGAGTGTAGTCCTTTCTCCGGCATGAAGATGGCAGCAACAGTGAAGGCGCTAGCGGCATTGTCGTATCCTTGTCAACGACGGCACGCAACAACGACAACGGCACTAGACCATAGCAATAAGCGAAGCGCGTGCAGCCGCCGGGTTGGGTACATAGCCATATCCTAGCGCATTCTCGCCCTGGTCAAAGCTCTTGTTTTCTCGCGATCTTTCGTTCACCAAGTGTGCACGCGACAGCCCACCTCGAAGTCCGCAAGGCATGCGTCCACAACCTTTCTGACATGTAAGCGTGGTGCATGATCGTCCTTACGTTACCGTCAAGCTATGTAACGTACCGTACCGTATCGTACCGTACCGTCCGAGGCTGACGGGCGCCCAACCTGCCCATTTTTTTAATCCGGAATACTTTTTTTTTTTCTTACTTTTGACACACCAAATTCATCTCCTCCACAGAAAAGAGTCTGGAATATAATTAGAAATGACTCCATAGCATCAGTGGAAGCTACCTGTTGTGTTTTGTCGACAAATGGATAAATAAATCAGCGGCGTTTCTTGTCAGTTCACTGACGGTGTGTGTCCCTTCCTTCCTTGGTGTTCTCGGGGGGGGGGGGGGGGACAAACAGGGGCTCCAAATTATCGGCCGCAGCCGCGTGAGCAAGCTGTTCGGGATGCGCTCTCTCCTCCTCACGGAAAAAAAAGCGCACCGCCCTGAGCGCTACCTGGAGGTGCCTGACGAGCCAGCAGCGGAAGGACTGGAGGGGGTTATGCAGAACGCGGAAAAAGCCGCGGAGGGGGTACAAGAGCAGCTGGCGGTGCCCCTGGTTGGGGGCCGCAGGCCGAGCGAAACCCCGAGGATGGAAGCAGGCGGGTTTGGTGATAGCGAGAGGAGGGTGTCTACGGGGAAGGGGGAGGGAGGGGGTGCTCGTGTAAGCGGCGGGGACGAGGAGGGGGTGGGCGACGAGGAGTTGAGATATCACCGGCAGCTGCGCCGGTACCGAGAGCACCTTCAGCAAGAGGTAAAGGGGAGAGGACAGAGAGAGAGAGAGAGAGAGAGAGAGAGAGCATGTGAAATGTGACATTTACTTTTCCGTTCATGTTCGGACGTTTGTTGATGATGTGATGAATTCATTTTTGTTCATTCATTCTCCTCCGCTGATGCTGTGTAACGGTCGTTGCCTCGCCTCTGGTTTCGCTGTGACTTCCGGGGCGTGTTCTCGAGCAGAGGGGCTCTCGCCAGCACCTCCATCGCCTACGGCTGCCGGGGCGAATACTGCACCTCGTCAACACCGACTTCGTCACCGAAAAGGTGCAGCAAATGCAGCATAGCACAGAGCGCGGCACAGCAGTGTAGCCTCAACGTTTTCCGGTCATGCTGCACCAACAGCACCCAGCTCTGTCCGTGAGGATATAGCCCTAGTATGATACAAGGGTGGTGTGGTACATGGGTACAGCAGTAGGCACAAAGGTTTTCTGGTCATGCTGCACCAAAAAACACCGAGCCGTGTGAGTAGTGTAGCCCTCGAGTACACAGGGGCGGTGTTCACCTGGACGTTGTCGCGTGGGGCACGGCGTTTTTCGTCCAGTGGCGGGGGTGCGGCCAACGGCGATTTTTCCATTGAGAGCGTGTAGTCGACGGCAAAGTGCGTACTCTCTTCTTCAACAGCGTGACTGTCTTGGAATATAGCGGACGGCCTCGAACACAGCTAGCTCAACATCACTCCGTTTTTTTTTCGGGGTTGGTGGGTAGTGGTGGTGGACTGTGTTGTAAGAATGTCCCCCCCACTGCTGTGTCTTGTGTTGCCCTTAGCCTGCCATATTGAGAGAGATGTCTGTAGGATAGCTATTACATGCAGACTTGTTGTCATGTTGTTTCGATGGGCTCTTGGAGTCTAAACACGTTAGCTATGTATGGGCTGTTCGAGCTTTTTGACAACGTCACTGCTGGAAGTTAATACTTGGCTTTTCCGACCTTTCTTTTTTTCGTCTTGCGTCATCCCCTTGATGATGGCACCGCTGTGCTCTCATGAGCCCCACTCTGGACGGCAACCTCATGCACATGAAGTACGCGTTCGTTTATTTTCCACCCCCTCCCTGCTTGGGCCGACAATAACCCGGCATATCGCTTCATCGCGGTATTGTAGGGATGCGAGGCCGGTGGTCGAGCGACTACGGCGTGCGTTTACATGAGTACCCCTCCCCCACCTCGCATTCTTTCTGGCGTGCTCCTCCGGCCTTCAGTACGGTCGGCGATACGTACGATCACTGTTATTGCCCGAACAACAACCCCCGACGGAACAATACCAACGTTAGACTTTAACAACTCCTCAACCCCAGGTGATGACGGAGGCGTGCGAGAACGGGTGCCTGTGGTCCTGCTGCAGCGCCTTCTCCCCCCTCCGTACAGAGGATGAGGTGAGCGCCTGCTGCTGCACTCCTGGCATCGGCGAGCGCAGGAAGCGGGTGTTCACCCCCGTGTGGTCTTCGCCCAACGACCTGGGCGAGATACGGGTGACCCCGGCTTTCCTGGTGGACCACAGCCCGGACGAGATCCTCAAGGCCGTGGACGAGACCGTCAGGGACTTCGGGATCGACACGTGACGACGGCGGCGTGCCACAGCCTTTGCCGCGCAGCGATGATCGTGGAGACCACACGACGCTTCGCGACCCATACCCACCCACCCCTTCCGCCCCTTCCACGTCACGACGGAGAACTAGAGAGCGCAATGATGTCTAGAGAGTAAGCAGCGCGACGAAGAGCATGGTGATGTTCAAATTATTGCGTGGCTAACGATGGTCGCCCGCCGAAGCGTGCTGCGATATTTCCGTAATCTCTGGCAGTGTGATGCTTGGAGGTTTGTGACACGCGTGTGCTAACAAGCTTTTCGTAACGTATGCGTAGCGGCTTGGGGTTTGGTGCATCCTGATACGCCGGCCTTGGGCTTTCGCCCGGTGCCTGTGTCCGAGGTGTCGATCTCAACGTTCCAGACGAGATAGTGGACACTGGTGAAGGTGCAGGTCAAGGCTGAGCACACGCGATCCTGTTTTGCTGTAGCTCTCCTCGGGGCCAAATTCTCCGACACGCCTCTTGTGCGGTGAATTAGGTATCCGCAACGCATCTGGCGGTGATGGGCATGCAATGAATCCGAGGGGGGGGTGTCACGAACGAACATCCCTGTTTGCTGAGTTGGAGCCGAGACGGTGGGTCTCATTGGCATTGTCTTTTTGCCGTACACAGCGTGGGTTTGCTGCAAGATCTTGCAGCGTTCGCCTCGACATGTTTGCTTGGAAGTGCTCGCGCGTTGGCGTTCGCCCTCTTGCACTAGGGGTAACGAACGAGAGGCGTTTAGGCCCACCGGTGGATGCGGAATGGATACTGTAGTAACTAATATTCCTGGAAAATTCTGGGGTTATAGGGGGTAGCATTGCTGAGAATACGCGCAGGGAGTGAACATGCCGGCGGCGTCCCGCACGCACACCTACGGCTGTTCGTCGCATATGAATGTTATCTTACACTTGCATGTATATTTTCAGCCAACCAACGGAGGTACGACTTCGTTATGTATCACTGGGCTAGGCTTGGTTGGTGCCTGTAGATTGGCCCCGACAACGTGTGTAGTGGTGGCCTCTGTCCGGAGAAAACGAGTGGCCGTGCTCAGCTCCAAGCACGCGTTAGGAAGTAGTGAGTGTGTGAGTGGTACCCCACTCCCAGCGCCGCATACCTTGTTTTGTCTCGGTAGCCAGGAGTTGCAGTATCTTCGATTGTTTGTTATGGCTTGGATTAGTTTTGGTGGGTGATAGTGGTGTGGAATCTCTGCTTGCTGGCTTCACTGTCGGGTAGCAACCCCGAAAGTTTGAGTTTCCCGCGTCCGAAGAGACAACGGAACACGAGTACCGTGTAGACTTGTTTAGTTCGAATGCATGTGTGTATAGACTGTGGCGTCCTGCATTACGCCTCTTTGGACGCGCCTGCGGTGTACCCAGGCCAAGACGAAGGGGGGCAGGAACATAATAATACGCAAAAGCGTTGACCGCGGTCGCAGTTCTTTTTTTGAACAAATGTGATGTCCAGATTGCACCACAAGAGAGGGAAACGTCTTGAAAACGGCACACCTCAACCCGGGGTGGCAAAGTACGCAACACCCGTGGAGAGAAGGAAGATATCAAGGCACAGTACTTCAACCAGGGTTTGGCTGGGGAGCGCGAGGAATCGCCCCGTACGCCGTTGCAAACCTTCGAAGATCTACATATTCCTGTAAGATTCCATCACCACGGGAACAGACAAGACAGGTTATTTTTTTGTGAAGGCGGTGCTGCTGGCATCGGTTTTGACTTTGCGTCGCCTCGGTTTCACGGGAGGATCTTCTGGAGCCGAGCGGTTGTTCGCTGTTCGTAGGCAGGAGAATTTTCGCACAGCAACGAAGCGATAGTTTTCAAAAAGCCGAGAGCAAACGTGGTTCGACAACACAAAGAGTGTCCGTGACGACCCAGAGGAAAAACTACGTACAACAGACGAGGCATTTATTTGCAAGAGAGTGAGCACCGGTAGGCCAATAATGATAAACCTCACTTGGAGGCAAGAGGAGGGCTACACGCTCAAGTTTCGCGAAAACGAAACACCACCGCGCCTGGGCGCTGACCGGCCTTTCTTATCTGCGGCCACCAACTACCGCCGTACACGCTTCTTCGTGTCCGTCAGCGGCGTGACATTGTCAACATGGGCCTCAACTTGGCTCTTCTTGCTGTCTCAATTTGTCACTTCGCGCCAAAGTGTCGCCCTACCCTACTACGGTTGTTGTGTTCACCACAAAAAAATCCTTTTCGGTTTTTCCCGCAACTAACGTGGACGCCTTCAGTAATAGTCACAAGCAAACTACCCAAACCCTCACGTCGTAAATGTTCGGCAGACACTAAAAAGCAAAGCCGTCACATCATCGGGATCCATTTCTACCGTAATGTATTGCCAGGGGATGCAGCTCACACGTGTTGGCGTAAAGCGTCGTTTCACACTCCAAAGCCGGCGTGCGATCAAGCACACACTCGAGGAAGTTTGGAATCGAGACCCTTGGGGCGCTGCTACTTTAATCCCCCGCCCCGGCACAGTGACTCGCTCCCAACGACCACAATATTGCACATCCTGGCAACATTGTTTCCACATGCTACATGAGTTTGTACGCACTAGATTATTCTATCAGGTACCGCCCAATCACGGAAACACTACCCCGCTCGAGACAGTTATCCTACTGCACCTAATCCAAGGGCTGTGTACTCTAGAGGTATTTACATAAGTGTTGAGAAAAGGCTGCTGGGGACTGGGCTTAGACTAGACATACCTGCTAAAGGATGAGTGAAACCAGCCACATCAACGTTCTGCTTTCATGAAGCGCTTTTACAACAAGACATGACCCCCAGGCACCTACTGGAGCTTGGTCAAGAATGACCTTCAGGAGGACCGACCCACTTCCCACTGCTCAGCTTATGATTGTTGCTGATGGGCTGCTGTCCGTGGCAGGTTTGTGTGCAAAGGAGTTTGGGGGTACCCGTCCCGACAATTACTCTTCGGCCCACATGAAAACTCAACGACACACTTCACCGGGAGGTCTCTCTAGGGAGAGGAAGTCGATATGCCACCCACCCGACGAGCGCAGCTGCGTCTCGGTGCTTGTTTATTGTTCTCCCTGTTCGCAGAAGCTCTCGTGCGTGCAGCAGCTGGTCCGTTGCCACGAGCAGCCCCAGACCCGTGTCTGAACGACCGGGAGAAGCAAGCGGAGTGGTCGTCATCTAACATGCCCGCTTGAATCTTGGCGAAGTTGCCGTGTACGGCGTGTCGATTTTGAAAGGGGCTTCCCGTACGTGCGTCGTTGAGGGGCGAGTTGCGGGTGACACCTGCTGGTGGGGACGGTGGTTCGACGGCGGAGTGAATGTGTCGAGGGAAGCAGGAGATCGGTCTACGTACTAAAAGGAGCACTGTTAAGAAGCACGATGACCACTCGACTACTAGTCAGCGCTGATCACAGGGATGGCCACCCTGGGGGGACGTGTTCGAGGCTTAAAAGAAAGCTTGACGGACTCGGGCATTAACTTTATTGTTAAGAAGCACGATGACAGCTAGACTGAAAGTCAGCCCTGACTGGTAGTCTAGTGGTCATCGTGCTTCTTAACAAGCACCTTGGATCACATGGTACGCATGGAACTGTTGACAACAGGTGGGATGGAATTCACGCCCACCATCTGCACAGCAAAACGATAAAAAAACATGTCGACGTGTCACCTCAATCCTTGACCCACCTTCTTCTTCGTGAAACCCCACCACACAGTTGAAAAGGAAGGGGACCGCCGCAAGTAGCAGGTCAGATAGCAGGGGGCGGTGTGGGGGGAGACGTCCTCATCGCAGACACCGCGCAGAGGTCGTATGCATAGTCCGTAGCAGAGTTCTGATCCAGACGCGGGGCAACGGAGGCGGAGTGGTCCGGGACATGAGCGACATTGTATTGTAGCTGGTGTAGTCTGTGGCGGCGAACAAGGGCGTGCATGGTGGTGTACATCGTTGCCTCTACCACATCTCCCACTCGGCGAGTCTCGTTCATATCAGTTTGAGGACGGTGAGTGAAAACCCGAGAACATTTTTCACAATCTCGCAATAGGCTCAAACACGCGTCGGGCGCGGTGCTGCTACATGTCATTATTGCGACTACGTATCGGGTAAGACAAGCCATGCGCTGCTTTCACCGGCGATACTTCAGGACTAACCTCCATCCCCAGAGAGCTGGACGGTGCGACCGGTCGGTAGGGGGAGACTCCCACCGCCATCGGACGCGGGGCGGGAGACGGGGATCGCACGGGAGATCGCGGCCGGCCTCGTGACCACGGGGGCGGTGAAAGTGGCAGACGGCGCGGAAAGGTTCCTCGTCCTTCACTCTCCCGTTGCCGATGTCCGTTCCCTGCTCCCCGTGCTCGAGTGGAGCAGCTGTTGTCCGGCGATGGCTGCCGTGGCATCGCATTGGCTGTTCTCGAGGGAACGGAGATCCGAAGAAGAGCATGGCCCAGCTCGTCGTCCAACCTGTGCAGACACTGCCATGCCTACCGCCGGGAAAACGAGGTCGGTATCCAGCTGACCGACGACGTTGGCGGCGATGTTGGGTCCGGTGAGGGGCAACGTTGCCGTTGGAAGCTCCTCAACTCCTTCGTCGAAGCTTGCGCTATTGGCCGGGGCCATAGGTAGGGGTCACCTCTCAGTGGCGAGGCACGCCAGGTACCACGGGGGCAGTTGGGACGCGCTGAGCAGGAGCACTGCGAGCGTGGGACGGTGGGCGTGCGTTACCACCCTGAGACCGGCGATCTCCGAGATCGGCATCTGCCGCGGGAAAGGGTCACCAACACCGCTCGAAGGGAATACCAAAGTCTTGAGGTACCGAGAAGTGCCGGCACCTAGAGCGAAAAAAGGTCCATCGGTGGAGACCAATATCACGAGCGCTGTGTCTGTGGCATGGATCGCCATGGAACCAGGCTTAGCGGCAGCGGCGGCGGCAGCATCCGCACGAGCAGGGGGCATAGAGGGGGAGTCCGTGCCAACCCTTGTAGCAATGGCGGGTGGACTCCAGACAACCAGACAACGATCACCAGTTCCTGCCGATTGGCGACGTTTCTGGTTCTTGAACGCGTCATCTCCCGGTGGATGCGCTCGTCCGCGGGGTTGCTGTCGAAACGATGGGGGAGTGAAAACATGTTTGGCGTAGGTGAAACCTGGTATTTGTGTCCATGGCCCCACGTTTCCGCCGACTCTCGGTGGTACGTGTGGCGGGTTGAACGGGATGTCTATCGCAAGGGTGTGCACGTCGGCCACCCGAATTGGACAGTGATTCCAAGTAGGACTGGGAAGCCTATGATGTTTCGACCGGAGGGTGCCACGGAAGACCCGGTCATTGCAGTTCACGGTCACTTGGTACTTTGAGCGATTTATCCCTGCTCCGTGCCCCCACTGTATAGACAAGTAACACCAACGACGTGGCAATCGGTGTGAAACAAATGTTGCTAAACATTTTCTCGAATGTCTGGTCTACATGTTGTTTCTGTATGGTGTCAACGCGTTTCCATTTCGTGGGCGGGGATCGAGCGTTATCTGTGTCACCGGTATTGTTCACCACGTAACTGCCGTGATGGAATGGTTCAACAAATGCCGGAATTTCGTCTTCTCGAGCGAAGCAGGCCATGTGACTCCAGCGATGTTCTGGTCAAAAATGAAGGCAAACCACACATTCTCAAGGTGGGACAGCCACATGTCCCCAGAAAGGCACGACGCGAGTGCCGCCGCTTATCGGGAAAAACATCGAGTGGAATCTCGGTTTTGAAACGATGCTGAAAAGGCCAAGTGCGCTGCCAAAAGCCTCGTCCCTCCAGCTCGGTATCTACGGGTGAGTACTATGTACTGTGGCAAGGGCTTCCACGACCGATGCGGACAACGTACACCCGACCTGTCGCAAGCCACGTCCCTCTAGCTCGGCATCTACGGATGAGTACTATGTACAGTGGCAAGGGCTTCAACGACCGGCGTGGGAGCCCTTGCCACCGATACGCATCTGTACCGAGCTGGAGAAGTGTGGCTTGCCACAGGGCGTGTGTGCATTTTCAGCATCGTATCAACGCCCAGATTATGCACAAAGCGTTTGCCTACTATCGGCGACGCGAGGCCTCTGCTGCTACTCGAGTATGGTGTCCGCGACCTGCGTGGCCGGCTGGGTGGCACGTCTTGCTGTGGTTGCCCCCTGCCACGGATGTTTGAGGCAGGTCGCCCAGTTCCTCGGCGCAGCTCGTCGCTGGGAAGCGCCCCCGCTGGCCGGTAGGTGCCAGAAGGGCAGGGCTCGGACTGCCTCGCATAGTTCAAGGCACACAAGCTGTAGTTCCGTCGTCGAGCACAGT